TAATTATTATAATAACATTTAATTAATTATTAATTTAATTATTATTTAAATAACATTTAAGTATTACATTAAACAAGAATGAGTTTATATGTAAGCAAAATTTTTTTTAAATATATTTAAGAATTAGTTTAACAGTAGTTAAACGGTAAATCATTTATTATTATTATTATTATATTAATTTACAATGCTTTTGTTATTCAATTATGAAACATTATTACAAATAATAATAATAATTATTATTATTAATGAATGAATTTAAAAATACTGTAAATTTCAAAACCACATAAAAATAAATGTGAAAATTTCACACACAGAGAGCACACTTGGTTAGGAGTGCAAGGCACTCTTGCATTATGCCAGTAAAAACGGCTGTAAACACAGATTCATGTTCAACATCACGATTTGGGGCTCTACATTGAAACCTAATTGGTTATGAAAGATAATCAAATCAAAAACACTGCAGGAACTACATCTTTTCTGCTCAGTTAAGCCGGTGCTGTAGTCCACTCTCCTGCCAGGTGGCGCTAAAGAGTCTGGAAGCATCTGGAAACAGGTTCGGTGACAAGACTACAAATAACCCTGGACGTCCCAGTTCCTGATGCAGGCCTGTGAAACAACAGGAAATGCTGCTCGCCGACAGGAAGCTCCGTTTAAGAGCGACGGAAGGAAAGCCCTTAAAGTCTCCTTACGTGACCCTCCGGTGAACAATTCCCAAAGAACGGGAGCCAGAACTGATCAAAGATGATGACCTTTTAACATCGCAGCTATGTTGGGTGCATTTTTAGTTAATAAGCAAGTGTAAATAATTAAAATAAATGTCATAGGATTATTATTATTATTAACAGATTTTAAAATAATGTTATTAAGTAAAATGTTATTTTTAAAACCATTACTACAGATAATATGTTAATATTAAACATGAAATGTTCACATTAATTTCTGTGATTAACAATAATAATACAAAACAATAAAAATTATTATTATGTAAAAATATAGTAATTATTTTAAAAAAGCTTTTAAAATAAAAACGTTAATATAAAATATAATATTTAAAAAAATATATCAGTGGTTAAATGGTAAATCATTTATTATTATTAATTCAAAATGCTGTTTCTATTCAGTTATTCAACATTATTAAAATAATAATAATAATTACTACTATTATTTAAATATATTTATAAATGTAATATCAGTGGTTAAACAGTAACTAATTTATTCTTATTAATATTAATTTAAAATGCTGTTGCTATTCAATTATTTAACATTATTAAAATAATAATAATACTTTTTATTAATATTATTTCCCTATATTTATGAATTTAATAATAGTGTTAAACAGTAAATAATCTATAATTAATATTACCTTCCGCCTGCTTTCCCGAAGCCCGTGACGGACACAGAGCAGCCGAGTACATGGAAATCAGACTAGAACGGAGGGAGGCGTGTCTATTTTTAGCCGGTGTGTGTGTGTGTGTAGATGAGGAAGGATATCTTGACATCAAAACAAAGCAAGGACATGCAGAACAAAACGAGAAAATAATGCAACACAACACAACTACTATTTGCCAATGTGCGAGCTCTGAATAAGCACCGATCTGAGCGCAAGTGCGAGATTTTGCCGGGAGATTGTGCGATCGCCATGGCGACCGCGGGATGAATTTGTAGCAAAGTGCTTATTCAGAGCTCAGGGATTCATGAAAGAAAGCTTTTAAAAGGAGCAAACCTGATTGGCTGGTGCTGTTGTTGCGTAGGGGACACTTGTGGCAGGAGTTGTTGCTGCAGAGACAGTAGCAGGCGTAGCACTGTACATCATGGGTACTTTTTCAGGAAGGGAACCATGGAAGCAATGAACAGGTAGGTGGAGCATTATGGAAACAGGTGTTTGGTTGGTTGGTAGGTTTTTGTAGTTTGTTTTTTGGTTTTGTCGTTTAGCAGTGGTGTATATTACAGAGCAGCGAGCCATCGTTAGGTTAAACCAGCGGATGGCATGCAATCACGATGCAAAGCGAGAGAAGCATGGGAAACAAAACAATAAAACAACAAAAGAAGAGGAGACAGGCTGATTATAATCACCTCAAGGAAATTTAACAGCATAATCAGTTGTACCCAGAGAGCGCTCAGTGCAGGTGATAGATTTACACCAGCTGTTAGCCCGCGACGGGCCGCACTTCTTCAAGTATTGATCCTGCCATCTACGGCAAACTACACAGATTGGCCGTCTGTGTGCTGCTTTATGATCGAGTGAGCTCTTTCTCTAGGAAACTGATCACATTTCCCCATCAATTGTACACAAGCCTATTACTCACAGCCTGCTTGCTTGGATCTGGTGTTTTCACACAAACAAATGACTGTTTTCCAACAATTAACGGATAATAATAATTATAATCATAATGGTCACTGTAAAAAAATGTAAACGTAATAATATATATGAATTACATATCAAATGTAAACTTTAAAAGACCACAGTAAAAATGTCAAATATATTTAAACAATAATAATAAAATCCACCAAAATGATGAATGATATATGTAAAATACATAAAAATATAAAGAATTACACTTTAAAACAATATCATAGTAATAATAATACTGTTTTTAAATCTATATGAATTTACGAATTATATATATATATAAATATATAAAATGTAAACTTTAAAATACCACTGTAAAAATGTAAAATAATACAAATATATAAAGAGAGTTTATATAATAGTTAAAAACTGAATTCGAAAATTGGAATTTGAAATAACTTACAATACACTGAATAATATAAATATGTAAAATGCATAGAATTGCTATAATTATAATAATGATAGCCACGCTTTAAAAAAAATGGCATTTGAAATCATTTAAAACAAATTGAATACGAATATATAAAATATATGGAATTCCAATAATAATAATAATAAAAAAATAAGTAATTAAGTAAAATATATAGACTTGCTATAAATAATAACAATAATAATATTAATAATAACTGTAATTAGAAATAAAATCCAAATAAACTGAAATCTGTGAATAGATAAAATATACAGAACTACTATAATAATAATAATAATAAGTATATTAAATATGCACTTAAAAAACTTTAAATTCTAAAACCCCAGAAAGAGAAATGTGAATATTTCAAACAAACAGAGTGCTCTTGCAGGTGACCAGAAGCAGAATAAAGCAGAAAACAGATGCGTGATGGTGTAACTGATCAGATTCCATCAACAGGTGCTAGTTTGGTATTTTGTGTGACGCGAGTGTCTCTCGAGCTTCAAATCACCTGTAAGAGCGACTAGATCTCTACGTGAGGTGGGGAAGACAGACAGACAGACAGACAGACAGACAGACAGACAGACAGACAGACAGACAGGAAGAGGAGGAACCTACCAATGCTGCTAGCAGGAGCCATGCACAGAACTGACCCTGTGACCATGCAGTGAAGAGTGGAGAGAGGTTAATAGGGAAGAAAAACATATTAGACACAGAGTCAGAGATTCAGTATTCAGCATGCCATACAAATCCAATTAAGCTTGTCATTATAGATCGCTCGCTCCACCGTGTCGTCATTCCGGTAAAAACTCAGCGTATTCCAGGAAGATAAACTGGATCAATATTCGCAAAGGGCCGCAATGATAGGACAGGAGCTTAGCGTTGTGAAATTAGAGCGCAGGGAAACCGTGTAGGAGAAGAGGAAGAGGGCAACAGGGCTAAAAACCAGCCACACACACACACACACACACACACACACACAAGAGAGTCATGCGGTGAGCCAACGGCCGCTCCTACGGTTAAAATAGACATAGTGCTGTTACAAAAGCCCCAGAGCTGGAGAAGAGGGAGGAACGGGGGCACAAGAGGACGGCTAAAAGGAAACACAACCACCATGTGGGTGTTTGATGACAAAATACACCTACGAGGGATTAGACAGCAGGACTCGCTCCGAGACCCTACATATGGAGAGAGCTTTTTCTGTTTACTGTTATAAAAATACTGCAGCGGGTACGCCTACAGGTACAGAGCCATAGTAGGTGGAATATATATATATATGGCTATTGTTTACTGTAACGCACTGTGGTTAATGTATATGTTGGCTATTAAGCTGAATAAATGACTCATATTTTCAAACTCTGATTGCATGCAATAATCTATAAATATTAAAGGCCTCTCAGAAAAAGAAATGTTTTCAAATATAGCTAAATGTTATATTTATTCATAATATATTAAATTAATTAAAATGAAAATATAATAGTATTATATATTATTATAATATTATATATGATCATATTTTGTTTTATAATAATTTAAAATAATTCTAATCATTTTTTATATATTTTAATCTTGAGTAAATATTGTATAAAATATAATATAATTATTAAAATGTTACAGCAATTTCATCGGCATATTCAGCTGAAAAAACAAAACAAAAAAAGAATATTAGCACCTGCAAATTATATATTTGCAAGAAAGAATGTTTTAAAATATTTAAATATAAATTTTATGGATAATATATATTTATATTTTTTATGTTTAAATAAATATATATATTTATTTATACACACTGCAATTCTGTTTATTTAAATTAATTCTAAACAACTGCAGTGTTATTTTAGCATCATTGAGATACTATTATAGATTTTATTGATATTTTGAATCAGTTTTTATATATTTTTTTTCATTTTTATTTTAACGTTTTAATTATTTTGTGTTTTATGTATATGCCTATTAATATATATGTTTATTAATTTTCGTTTCAGTTTTAGTTTGAGTTATTTTAGCACATCAAGTTAAACTAAATTAAAATAAGAAATACTGCCTTGACCACTAGCTGAAATTATTTGTTTTATTCATATATTTTATTTTAGTTACCTTTTATTCTTTTAGTTTTAACTTCAGTTTCACTCAACTACAATAATTGCAATCAAAAACTGTAATACATGTATCTGCATTACGTATTGGCCAGTATTGATGGGAGTCAGATATATATAATCATTGTGCTGTATCTGTACAGATGCAAATGCGTTTTAGCATGCAGAATTTAATCTACAGAATTTAATCCAATTTAATCTATGGCCGGCTATAATTTTTAGATCAAAGTATCCCAACAGTACTGTCCAAATTAAAGTCAGCAGCGCTCTAGAAATAACGTCTGTATTTTCCCTTCTAAAAAAACGTTATGCATTAGTATTCCGTGCACACACGCTGCATGCAATACGGACACGTGGCTGTTTAAAAGCCTCGGTTATGAAGTTACGCCAGGATCGGGGAAGAGAAAAAGGGAGTAATGTTTAGAGGGTGACCCAGGGATTAATACAAAGCAGTGCGGGCAGTGTGTGTGCTTGGGTTTGTATGTGTGCATGTGTGTTTTCTCTCACCTGTGGGAAAGAACGCAGCGGTGGGCTGCTGGAGCTGTGCGCTGGCCAAAGCCTGTTGGTAGTGCAAGACACTGGGGTTGAAGAGCATGCTGGCCCCGTTACTCTTTTCTAGTGCCGGTCTCTTTGGTAGGGGCTGCAGGACTCCATGGGGAAACGCCTGAGCGTGAAAGAGTACATGCACGAGTTAAACGAGTTTTGCACCACTTCTATATCCATGCACATGTTGACTCGAAGCTGCATCGCTCCTTTTTACACAAGGACGACGACAACCGTCGATAGATACTTAAGCAAGGCACTTACGTTTACTAAATAAAGCTACTTTACTTTGAAAGACGACACAACATTCTTTCTTCAAAATTGACTACAATGTACTTGGTGACTTTTACTGTTTCTATCAAAACAAAGAACAAAGCCAAATTAAAAACTTCTGTGAGTCGCTACAGTACATTAAAAAGCTACATGCAAAGCAAAAGGTGAAAGGTCATAGTACCAGATCTACAGATGCCTCGAGGGGTCGCTTCATTGCTTTGGCAGTCGACTGAGTCTTTTAATAGCAGGCAGCGAGCACATGATGGCAGTGGGCCAATGGGATTCAAGCGTATTAACATACAGGTAACAGCAAGCAGAGGTGCATCATGGGGACAGCATTGCATTGTGGAATAGGTGAGAAGGAAAAAAACAAAAACAAAAATAATCTGAATGCAGTAATACCACATACAAAACAATAGGCATGCACATACACGAAAAAACTTGTCTCAAAGAAACATTTCACTACGTTCTGAATTAGTACGAAAGCACAAAGCATCTACAATACCTGTGTTAAAAGCGTCAAAAATCAAGAGTCTCACCATTTACCAATCAAAAGTCAAACACGCTAATGGGATTGTAGATATTAGTGTTATGAAAGCTTGCTGCATAAAACACACCCGACATCCGCTATCGAAGGGTTTCGTGCGCATATGGCGAATTAAAATCTAATGATGGCAAGAATGTCAGGTTGGCATCAACGTCATTTGTTTCTGTTCGGATGCAACGTGAAGTTGCACGGCGTCTATAGAGCGCTAATTAGGACTGGAATCCGCATGGGCCAAGTTAGCCAATTTGACCGGCGCTCATCGAGAGATTTTAACATGTGCAGCGAAAACGCTTAGCAAAAAGGAAACTAAAGGACGCCAGAACGTCTTCCCTGACATTCGTTTCTGTCACAATATGTTGCAATCTCTTACCAACTAGCTACATGTAAATCGTGAAGGTCACGGCACCAAAAGAAAACAACTGATGTGAGGGATCACAGAATGTGGAGCTCTGTTTATTCTTATATTTGAGAACGTCCAATTTATGTTCTTTTACGCTGGACCTTTTAAAAAGCATTACGAGTTATTTTTATTGTGGCCCATTTTAATGTCTTTTTGCATTTAAATATTTATATGCACACTGCAATATTCCTCACCAATAAAATGCCATGCAAAAGTACTGGTAATAAGTAAAGATGTGGCTCAATGGAATGACGGGCAGCAAAAAAGGACGCTTGAAATGAGATGACGCTGAGGGCCATGCAGAAATGTTTGAAATCAGAATAGCCACTCACACACACACACACAAAAAAAAGGATGTCGAATGGAAAAGAAAAAATTCATTCAAAATTTTCTTTATAATAAAGTCACCGATTACAGCAAAAGGGTACGAGGGAAATATAATGCTTCATTTAAAGACATTTTATTGCCAGGAAAAACATCTACGTCTGGATTCTCTCGAGCTCTGCACCAAAACCTAGTGAGCTGCATTGTTGTCTACATAGGCTGCTACCTTCTCAAGCATATATGACTTATTTGAAACACTCTACATAGGCAGCAACTTAGTGCACTAGGCATACAGCACTTCTCATGCAAAGTGCACTGGAGTCTGGAGTCATAATTAGTCATTCCAAAATAGTCTGAATTTTCATTGCAGCATTCACAAATAACGAATAAAATTGTAATTTGTTATGATTTAACTATTTTAGTGATTGTTTCTGTGTTAAAATAGAACTGTATTCCTCTCATTGTCATCTTAAGTTTTTTCGCTGAGCTTGTCGCAATACATTCTGGGATTAAGTTCTCCCTGAAGGATATTTGCTGCATGAATTTATGCAAAACAAGGCATCTTGGAAAGCAGCATAATAATGCACAAATCTTTTGGAACAGTCTTGGTGTCACGTTTACAATACAGTCTAGTGCTGTCTAGGAAGAAAGATCGGTAGGTTTAGGAACAGAGCTTGCAAGTATAATTTTTAATAAACATCAGAATAAGATGCACTTTAATTGTGCATATTCTTGTAACCAAGAGTTGAATGTTTTGCTCCCCTCCGCCAACATAGAGAACCGTTAAAATAAATATGCCACCCACGGGGATTTATCATACAGAATTACATAACCTTCCACTGGTGAAAAAAAACCCAAAACAAAACAAAGAGAAACTAAAAGGCAAGAAAATGAAGAAACTATAACTGTATCATCTGACATCTCAGGGGTCGCATTTGGGATCGATTGCTTCAGCATTCCTACAGTAACTGGCCCGGTTTGAACCCTAGAAAAAAATCTGCTTTGTTATCTGCATTACATCATAATCAGGAAAGGACATTGCACCTTGAGGCTAACAGTGTTTTACCCTGTAGCCAAAGCTGGTGGTTTGGCTCAGGTCGCTGAAAGCTCGGGAAACCCAGGGCTTTATTTTGACTCTTGTTTTATTGTTATGGCTGGTGAGCTGATACTGTCCTCATGTCACCCTCTGACCCAGACGTCACAGTGGAAAAAGACAAAAGGTTCAGGGCAAAAGCAAAAGCGAAAATGGAGTAAACCGCAAAATGAATGAGGCCAAGCGTGTGAGTGCCATGACAGCAAACGCAGCAAACTAAAACCACACCAGCGTGAGATGTGGAAGCGGGAAAGCTTGCTGCCTAATACTGTGTCTGCACCGCAAGCGAGTGACGCGACCAAACTATATATTCAAACCGATGCATTGTTTGCGTCGAAATTGTTCACATTTTAAACAGAAAGCTCACTATATTGCATGTGTTGCATCACATTGTAAGCTTGCAGGACCAAACTATTTCCTTACCGTTATAATCAATGAAATAAGCGTGGCAGTGCAAGGAAACAATAATTTTCCCATTCTAAATGGCAAACTCATGCATGTCGCACTTGTTGCGTCGCTTTGTGAAATTGCAATGTAGACAATTTCATTGATTATAACAGGAGCGATCTAGTTTTCCTGCATTGCATTCCTTGCAATGTCGAACAAAGTATTCACTTTCATTATAATCAACAAAGCTGTCGTATTGTGTTGCTTGCAGTTTTAACAGCTTTAGCAGGAGCAAAACAGTTGTCTTGTGTTGCTTTGCTCATTGCAGTGTAAATAAATCTAAACCGCGTATCATAATCAGTGCTAGAACTGTTCACCACAGTCTAGTGATGCAGTGCGACAAAACTAGATCACGTCGCATTTTGTCATCAGCTTGCAGCTTAATTAATTTTAATGGGGAAAATCTAGTTTTCTTGTAAGCACATTATTTGTGTGCAGTGTAGAAAAAACTATATTGCTCTAATTCTAATCAAAAAAGCTGCACTGCAATGCAACAATGCACTGCGACAAAATTTGATTACTTTATTATAATTAAAAAAAAAAGCTATCTGTACCACGAACTTGCAAGTTTTCTTACATCTCACCGTTCTCTTCTGTTTATTATAATGGGAGTGATCTAGTATTGTTGCACCACATACCTTTCATGCAGTATAAGCAAAACAAGTTAATTCCCATTATATGAAACAAAGCTATATCTACAAGCATGCAATATCAAGTTTCATTGCGTCATACCACTGGAAATGTGGAAAGTTTTGCTGATTATAACAGGAGCAGTCTAGTTTTGTTGTGTTGCACTGCTGTCTGGCAGCATAGAAAAAAGATGCAATCAACAAATCTGTCTAAACTGCAAATGTGCAATACTGGTTTTGATGCATTACTCACTTGCAGCACACAGGGTTTCATTGGTTTTTAAGGGAGCGCTGTTGCTTTTGTTGCATCGCTTGCTTGCAGTGTAGACAAAACTAGAATGCTCCCATAATCACCAAAACTGTCTATAATGCAAGTAAGCAATGCAACAAAATCGAAATTGCATGCATGCAGAAATTGCGATGCAACAAAACTTGATGGCACCTGCTATAATCAAAGCCATATACTATACGTTGTGATGGTGACAAAACGCAACAAAACTCATTTGCTGCAGTTTTTTTGCATCGCTTACTTGCAGTTTAGAAAAAACCTAGTATGCTCCCATAATAAATCAACAAAACTGTCTAGGCTGCAAGTGAGTGATGCATTAAAATTGCATGCATGCAGGGATGCCAGGGATTGCAACAAAACAATACATGATAGAGCCTGTTATTATCAAAGCCATACACATCAATGAAACTATATTTAGCAAGTAACGCAATGCAATTAACATTGCATGCATGCAAAGATTGCGACGCAACAAAACTTGATCGCACCTGTTAAAATCGAAGCTATATACATTGCGAGTGCAAAACACAACAAAACTCTCTCTTTGCTTTGGCATAACGGTGCACAAAACTCTCTGCGTCATTTGCTTGCAGTGTAGACAAAATCTAGAATGCTGTCTAAGTTGCAAGCAAGCAGTGCAACAAAATTGCATGCATTTAGAGATTGCGATGCAACAATAACTGTTATAATCGAAGCAATATAAATTGCAAGGTGCAACAAAATTCGACATCTCTTGCTTACAGCATTGCACGCAACTCAGTGTTGCAGTTCTGTTGCAATGTTTCGCTCACTTGCAGCGTAGACATGTGTTAAAACTTACAAACGAGAGCAGCCTGGCATGTGGCCCAAGATACTGTTTCGCTTGGATAATAGATGAACCTGTGTATTCACGTCAGTTTGGCATGAAGATGCCATCCATCTCCTTAATTTAATTTTGACTGATCTGAGGAGAGCAGGCCTCCCATTGGGCAGAGAAATGGGGAAGTAAGCTGCCCCGTGACCTTGTGCAGTCAAGGGTGTGAGCAAAGAAGCTTTTAAGCCATCGTGCTTATTATATTAATATCCTATTCCTAATAATGATTGCATCAGTACGATGCTAGATGGATAAGAAGGGAGAGCGATTTTTACCACACAGTCTTCTCAAGCAGCTTGTCTCTTTGTCTCTCTCTCTTTACTCACCCTCTTTAATAAGACTAAAATCCTCCCGGGACGAGATAAGGGAGTCGACACCGATTTGGTACGCAACCCCACCCAGATTCTAGAGATGGGTCATGGCTATATAATAATAAAGCAGTGCTCCACATTTAATGTGCTAACATCAGATATCTCAATCGCAACCTCCACGGGCATGTCTCACGTGTCAATTGATTTTATCGTGCACAGAACCGAAAACGGTTTCACAATTCTAAGCACTGCCTTGGTTACGATTCAATGTGTCATGACAATGCGGTAAATTAAATTCTGCTGTACATTAAACGCAGCTGGTGAGGCACGGTGGTGTCATTTGAAAACTTTATCACGTTAATGTTTTGCACAACATGACTCTTTAAACGTAGAATTGTATGCACATCATTTTGAAATCAATTGTGCGTGATTAGCTCACCATGGCTGCAGCGGCGGCCTGTGCTGCGACGGCAGTCTGGTTGGCCTGATGCTGGGCTGCTTTGATCTTGGCCTGCAGGTGCGCCGGAGGGTGGAAGTACTTGCACTTCTCGCGCGAGCAGCGGCTCTTAATGTAGTCCATGCACACGGTGACCGTGTTGTCGCTCGTGTCGATCATCGGGCTGTCGCTAGGATGGGCAAAGCGGCAGTCGGTCTCGCCGCGTGCGCAGTTGCCCCGCTGAAACTCGCGACACACCTGGACGCAAACCAACACACGCAGACAAAACAAACAGGGAACACAAAAGAAATATGCAAACAGAGACGTGAGACATTGAAGTTTCAAGGCTCTTATGTATGAGCACAGGTACATAAATAAACACACATCGAGCTGAATATTAACAAAGACAGCAACAGCCTATCGGTGTGGGAGGGCCGCAGAGGAACAGAGCCTCTTATTATCACAGACATCAGTCAGTTGCTAAGTGATCGCACATTTAGTGACACACACACACACACACACACACACACACACACACACACACACACACACACTTCAACTGTTATTGTTTCAACCACGCTGATCATCTTGTGAGGCAGCTCTACATTGAAATGCCTCGCACTTCTTTCTATCCTCCTTCTCACACTTTTCCGCAATAAATTCAGCTCCGTCTTTAACATACAGATGAAAGCCTTTGGTTTCACAAACTTTAAATCTACTTCAACGTTGAAGTTAGAAAATTTCCCAGTGACCTTGACTTTGCTCAAATGTTTAATGTTCAGAATCTAACCAAAAATTATTCATTTAATATTTACTTAATGAATTATGACTGGTCTTCTTTCTTGCATACTGACTTATTATTGGTCTTTATTTTAAATTTGGATCAGTTTTTTTTTTTACATTTATTTGCACACTGAATTATGATTGGGCTTTTATTTTCCATTATGATTCGTCTTTTTTTTTATATAATAGCATACTGAATTACTGCATACTGTTGTTTTTTTTTTGTATATGATTGTTTTTTATTTTGAATTATGATTGGTCTTTTTTTTTTTTTTTTTTTACATATAATTGCATACTCAATTATGATTAGTCTTTTCTTTCTTTCTTAATTTCTTTATATTGAATTATGATGGGTCCTTTTTAATATATATTTACATATGGAATTATGACTGGTATTCTTTCTTGAATACATTTGCATACTGAATTATGATTGGACTTTTCTTTATTTTAAATTATGATTGGTAATTTTTTACATTCATGATCGGTCTTTTTTTTTTTTTTAAACATGTAATGGCATTTTTACATACAATTACATACTGACTTGGCCTTTCCTCCCTTTCATTTATTTGCATTATGACATATTTTTTGGCACTTTCATTACACTGCACTATGATTGGTCCTTATTTTTTACATACATACTTTTTTTTATTACATATATTTGCATAGCAAAACGTCTTTCCTAGATCTTATACTGTCCTTTACTTTGTAATTCTTTTGGATGAATGAAATGACGGCCTCATAATGTCTCTGTGTGAGGCGTTACCTCGAGTTTGTCTGTGCGCAGGAGCTTCTGCGTGGAGGATGAGCTCGGCATGCTGACCGGCGGGCTGCCGGGGACGATGACAGGGGTGCTGGGGAGCATTTCTGTGTGGACCAGACCCATGCCGTGGCTCATGGGAGTCAGATACGGCGCGTAACTCAGTCCAGGGTTCGAGCCCAGACCTTGGCTGACAGGAAATGTAGGCTGTGAAGAAGACAATTAATATGAAAGAATTGCAACTTGACGAAAAAAAGAAGCAGTTTACCCAAAAATGAAAATTTAGTTTGTTTCTTCATCAGATTTGGAGAAATGTAGCATTGCATCACTGTCTCAGCAATGGATGCTCTGCAGTGAATGGGTGCCGTCAGAATGAGAGTCCAAACAGCTGATAAAAACATCACAATAATCCACAAGTAATCCACACCACTCCAGTCCATCAATTAACGTCTTGTGAAGCCAAGAGCTGAGTGTTTGTAAGAAACAAATCCATCAAGACGTTTTTAACTTTAAACCGTTGCTTCTAGCTAAAATACGAGTGTTTTTACTATAGTCCATACTATAATTATGATATTATGATACTATAATCCATAATAATGCTTCCTCCAGTGAAAAAGTCCATCTCCTGTTGTCTCATATTTATTAACATATTTGTTTAGAACTATTTTGGACTATTTTGGCTCGTAAACAGTGCTGGATCTGTGCAGATTTCTCTCCTGATTCAGACCAGACCACTTTTTCACTGGAGGAAGCGTTATTATGGATTATGGACTCGTATTTTAGTTAAAATCGTCTTAATGATGAATTTGTTTCTTATGGGCTGGAGTGGTGTGGATTACTTGTGATGTTTTTATCAGCTGTTTGGACTCTCATTCTGACGGCACCCATTCACTGCAGAGGATCCACTGGTGAGCAAGTGATGCAATGCTACATTTCTTCAAATCTGATGAAGAAACAAACTCATCTACTTCTTGGATGGCCTAAGAGTGAGTAAATTTTCAGATAATTTGAATAACTATTCCTTTAAGTACAGTAATTATGAAGAGTTCATTTGCAAAAACAGATAACTCATCAAAAATCATGTTTTTTTATTATGCATTCCAATTAATCTCAATCAAACTGCAGTTGGGTTATTTTGATTAGGTAAAAAATAACTAAAAAATTCAGCTAATTAACAATAAAAAATGGAGTTATCTGTTTTTACAAATAAACTCTTCATATGCATCTAGACGTGAAGACGAGTGGACGGTTCTTACCACTGGTTGCATGGTGGTGCCGGGGATCATGAACTGCATCTGCTGCGCCAGCATCGCTGCTGCGGTCTTCTGCTGGATGAGGTTGTTGCGTCCGTTGATTTCCAGCTGCGTCTTCAGATGCGCCGGGGGGTGAAGGTACTTACAGTTTTCTCTCGTACACCGACCCTACGGCAAGAAAGAGCAGGAAAATTAAGTATCTCAGTTGTTTCTCCTGAACAGAAATGAATACTTTTGCTGATCTCTCCTGTGAAAAAGAGTCTCAACTTCAGCAAAAGTCAGAGATCTCAAGTCTTAATGATCTGAACTACTATTTACATTAACTTCATAGCTCTATACTCTAACTATTTGACAACTATTGACTCATTATATACAGTAAACACGTTGATTACCTGCAAAAAAAAATGTAAATCAACACAGAAACGACACTAAACCATACATGAAAAAACAAGCAGCAATGCAGTGAGGATGTCTGCTTCATACTGCAATATTTATTAAGGAGGCCAAAGTTAGACAAATATTCTGCACAAGGTCAAGCGTGTGTTTGCATTAAACCTCCGCTGCAGGATATCCAGTGACACGGGAGGCCAGACTGATACCGGGATGTGAAAAACAGTGGAGGGGGGGGGTTAAAAACGCAGCGGTAGCACATACTGCGGACATGCAGAGACACAGAAAGAGAATCTCACTGCCTCTGCAGATGCTGCGTCGCCCTGCATGTGCTCTACAGCATCAGCTGCTCGCTGAAGGTGTGAGATCTCCACGGTAACCTTGAGCACAAATATCACATGCTCATGCTACTCACAAAACAAGATAACTGAAGCAAACTGAAGAAAACAACCACAGATGTCATTAATTAAAATAGTAAATGCATTATTGAAATTTTCAGTTTATAAATATATAGATTTTTTTTATAATATACATAAATTACACTTTTCTATTTCTAAATTGTTTCTTTTATTTGTATTTAATGTCTCTGCAAAATGTCAAAAATAAAAAAGAAATATTTTCAAATTATGCATGTTTACATTTTAAGAATTACATAATTTAATTACACACATTTGCATGTTTAATTTCTGTTTTTAACGTCTCTGCTAGATTAAGAAATACTAAAATAAATATTTTTAATTTTTAAATTAAAATTTGTAGAATTATATATTTTAATTACATATTTATTTCTAAATGATGTATTTTTAATGGATTTATTTTATACAATGATTTTAATATTTATTTTATTTTATTTCAACATTAAAGTTTTACATTTATGTATTTTAATATAATATGTAATATTTAAATATTTTATACAATGTATTTTACATTTAAGATATCTACTCAAATATTGCTTTACTTGGCATAAAATAAATACAAATTTAAATTGAATTGCATGAACTTATTTTTAAAATACTACTGTTTAATTTTTTCATTAGTGGCATTTGCAATCAAGCACTATTGAAATTGTTGTTTTTAATATCTCTGCTAAATAAAAAAAATATATAAACTGGTAGATTGCTTTACTTTGGATAAAAGAAATACAAAAATAAATCTAATTGCACAAACTTATTTTTACAATACTACAGTCTATTTTTTTGTTCTTTATTTTTTGTCTTTAGTTGTGTTAGCAAAGTCAAGATCACTATTAATATTTCTTATGCTTTTTAAAAAAAAAAAGTTTTTAAAATTGTTTTCAATCTTTGCCGATAATTCGTTGGAGTGCCACTACCTTTAAAATACATAAATACAGCCAATTTGACATGTTTTGGATGAAGATATGCAGTTTCATCAATATCAAGCATTTTTGCTTGTAACTTGTCAAAAGTATTAATATAAAAGTTATGATAAAGACCTGTGTGTAAGTCTACTCGTATGTAGAAATATATTTTATGTATGTATTCTAAAGCTGCTTAATTAAACCAAAAATGAATTAACAATGTAAACAAAAGACATGCAAACAGTTTAAAAAGGTGTAAAGGACTGTTGCACATGCATGTATCTAACTGTCAGATTTGGCTTGTTTGTTTATGATTTAATGCCATGCAAGCTACCTCGGCTATATTCATGGCGAGAATGAGGTTAGTTAAGTTAAATTAAGTTTTTCAATTTGATCTTAGATAAAAAATGTTAACTAAATCTGGCCTTACTTCATTAAAAATCTTCCTCTAACTGTCAGATCATATACCGTGAAACTATCCTGACACTTTAAAAAGCTCATAACTAACCAGATACAATGCCTCATAAATGCAAAAATGAAAAGCAGGACAAAAGTCTCTGTATAAACTACATACATTCAGAATGTTTTGTCATAATTTTGCATTTAATTATAATACAACATATGTCTGCATCAAGGGTATAAAGCAGAGACATGACCCATATAGGCTTTTGTGTGCTCTCTGCATTGTTGCAGGGAGGTCACAAATCCCTTGAAAACATCTTCGAAGCGTTGGCAGGAATGTGCACGGTCAGCTTATCTGAGGTCTTGCTTGCTTACGGTGGATTATTACAACAAGGATAAAAGCGCAAGACATCCAGGTATCCTTCCTTACTCGGATTACAATGGAGATAGTGTGCTATAAATAACACAAAACTAGATCTAAACGGAGCACGGCTGTCATTTCAATGATCTCCAAACAGTTAAACAATGCTGAATCAGCTCACTGCAGCTCACCGCATGAGTGCCGCAACGGCACGAGCTGGGATATCTGACTTTTGTTAATGCGGTCGAGACCTCGGGTGATTGATCAGACCCAAAATACGATGCATTTGCAATCATTTAAAATCTTTATGTTATTGACTGAAAGTCAAAGCTTTGTGTTTTCGCTCAATTATTCGTTAACGCATCAATGTCTATAGAGGTGAGCATCTCAGTGATTCCACCAAATTATTGGTCTAATACTGTGGATGAACTATAAATGATCATTCATTATCAACACATAATCAATTATAGGCCAAGCTGAAGACAGGTCTAGACACTTAGCACCCTCAAATTCCCAAATATGCAGCGCTGTAATCCACAGGACCAGGGTGCCGGTGCAAAGGGGCTATCAATATCCCTGCTGGAATAACAGTGTTGCTTAGCCGTCCAGCCAAAAGCTGAGAGGAGTCAAAGCCAATCAGTCCGGGCCAAAAGACGGACTCTCGCACCCGCTGACATAGTGACGGATGGTGAGGAGAAGCGAAAACATCCGATAGAGGACTTCCACCGCTATCGGGATTTTCAGATGCTGAGCAAAGGACCGTACTGGAATATGTATGAGAGGTTTGATTTGCTGTGTGCGGCCTGATTGAGGGGAGACTGCTGATTCAATAATGAAGGTCTATTTTTACTGGCGAACTCAGCAGGAATGATTCTAATGGAGGACAACCAGAAGCTCTGGATCGAATGACTAATCGTCAATGTGCTACACAATACTGCATCGCAGCAATTAATGGAGGAATCAGATTTAGAAATCCAAAATACCCAAAAAAGCATTACATAGGAGACAAAAGTTTGAGAATCATTAAAAAAAAGAAGTACAAGGTTTATGGCTAATGTTCAAAGCACACATGCATCAATGTGCATCATGATATGCCGTATGTACAGTCTTGGCTGATGTCTAATCCAGTTTAATTTACTGCATCTAGTGTCCTGAAATAAAAAAAGAGTGGAAAAAAATGTATCTGAATGTAAACTGAATTGAATTCTAGATGTAGCATAATCTTACTCAGTGTGTTCACACTGACAACAATTAAACATATATACATACATTTGTAAATTTTATGCATATAAAAATGTCAGAAAAGCTTTGTTTGATAAATTGGCATTGTACAAGCTTATATGTAATTTCCCTACTCTTCAAATACAAACTGGATTAAACAAATGTGCGTTCATACTGACAGTGACTAAACTGCTTCAGTTTGGCAAGATGCCGTATTGTCGGCTCCCATTTGACCGCTGTATTCGACAGTATCATGTGAAGGATTGCGCAATAGTTGCTATATTGCCTTAAATCAGCAACCTTAATTGTAAATGACTGACTCACTTCGCTTTGTTGCTGCAAACTGTTGTAAGTGTGAACGCTCCTTAACATCTATTTACACTGTCCTTACTATACCTGACAATGCAAAGCAACATGCGATCAAACTTTCTTTTGCTCCATTTTATTTCTTAAAATGAAAAATAGACCAACACCACATCATAAATGAATCTGAATTGGAAATTAAACTGCTTCAGTTTGACAAGATGTCGTACATTTTGCTCCTATTTGACTGCTCTGTTCGACAGCATCCAGTGAAGGATTGTGCAATTGTGCTATAGTTGCTATATTAAATAAGCAACCTTCACTGAAAATGACTGATTCACTTTGCTTTGTTGCTGCAAACTGTTGTCAGTGTGAATGCTCATTTACATTTATTTACACTGTGTCTATTTACATAAACAGACAACCAAACTAGTTTAACTTTTTAGCATCTTGAATGAAAAAGAAGAACGGTTTTACCACCTGTAATCTGAATTTAAGTGAACTGGTTCAAAACGGTGCCCTATTTAACTATTTCAAGATCAAACAGCTTCCGATTTGACTGAATTTTTCACTTTGTGCTGTATTTTTCATTTAATAAAGACAGAAAGTTTACTTCTCATGCTACGACTGGTTAGCACATGTACTTTCAAAGACATAACCAGCCTCTGCTTTCTGTAAGTGAAATTGAGACACAGCCCAGATGTTGCCACTCAGGTTGCATTCAAACTACGGTTTGTGTGCCAATTCATTGAAAAATAAATACATCTGGAGTAATTTTGACCTCAAAGGATATACGCAAATATAACAACTGCCGAAGTCCATGTGTTAACAATGTTAGCGAATGATAGAAGTCAGTGTTTGGTTTCATATACCTAACAATAATAAAAAATGGGTTTGTAGTCTCGTGAGCGGTGGCCCCTCGGACACTACATGACTGAATAAATGAGATAGACAACCATTAATGCGGCATGTAGAAAACATCACAATCTGCTGAGCTCAAGGGAGTACTTGACACAAACATACTTTAAAACGGTGATACAACCTCTCTGATTGAAATGAAAATCAAGCAAATGTTGATGTGAAAGGCAGTGTACCATTCTCGGTGACACTGTCGTGCGCTCAAGCGATGTGAGTGGTCTAGCCAGCACTGATTGAAAGTACAGTGGGTCACGA